AGGAAACCTAAATGCATTGCAAAAGAGTTTCATTAAATGTCTGATTTATTTCAAAGCTGTACATTAAAATTGTATCTATCACATACATGACAAGATTAGTGAACCGTTGAAAATACAAAATTTAACGCATGTCTAACATATTATATTCTATATAGTTTCTAATTATTTTTTCATAAACGATAATAGTATTTTTATAGCAAAAATCCTTTTCTGTACTAAAATTCTAAATAAAATGTTTTCCTTTGTGAAATAAATATGTCTGAACAAAAGAATACACAAAAGGGAGGGAGATAATATCAACAACACCGAGAATAAAAATAAAATAACAATGAATATTGCACAGATCCAAAAAAATATAGTAATACCAATAGAATAAACAAACCAAAAGTTGTGTAGTAGTTATTCTCTAAATGAGATATATAAACTCAAATTCCCCCTTTTTTAAGAAACAAAATTCAAATAATAATCAATGTTCTCCTGAATTTCTTCTAAGGAAAGTAACACAAATCATCCTTTCTCTAACTACTTACCATTCAAAAACTCAGTTTTAAGAAAGCCGTTTAGTAATGAAAACAAGCATAGAAAAATCCAATATTTCTTACAAAATACTGTGATTAAGAGAGCGAGAGAGAGAGAGAGAGGAAGTACTACTTACTTCAAATATAAACACTGTAAGCTATTAGTGTACCCTTTGAATGTGAACCACTTGGGTGTTTGACATAGACACGACTGGTCTCTACAAACAGTTGGCAGATCAAGTTGAACAACAACTCGTCTGTGGTGGAGAGAATTGCCTATGGCATCTGGCAGACTCTTGTTTAAATATAACGGGTAAATGTGGTCTCTTCATTAAAGATTTCGGCAGCAGGCGTCAGAGTAAATGAAACAGAATATTCCGAGAGTGTGACCTGTTTTGGCCTTGCAGTCACTGACACGGATTCCTAGATTGTTATTTCAAAAAATTAGAGAAGGGGGAAAAGAGATTCGCTTCTGAGAAAATGTGAAATGGGTTCCAAGACTTGTTCCCATAGCCATAAGTAAATAGTTAGGTCTGACATCTAAATAAGGAAATAATAAACTTGTATTAAAAAATTCATGAGGGATCTCTCTCGATAACATTTCTGTAAAAAAAGATACTTAAAGAAAACCATCTATACCCGAAGAGCCGGAATAGAATATAGTCTAACTTCTGTAAATTGTATTATGAATTTTTCATTCTTAAAAGATTCTGTTTTTTTTACTCAAAAACTTATGATTGAAATAAATAATTTTTCTTAGTCGACCTTATTTTTCCTCTTTTTTTTCGCCAAAATTTTCACAGTTTTTTTTAAACAACCAAATGTATTAATTATACTTGTTTAAATTTCTTTAATTTTTTCTATTATTACATTCTATATTATTGAATTTTAGTGACCATTCATTAATAAATGCTTAGTGTTCCTTTAAGTCTTTAAGCGAGATTTTAACATTCGGATAGTTAATCCAGGTAATTACAGTCGGACTCTATATAACGAAGTCACTAAATCCCGTAGAAAGTTCGTTATACAAAGGTTCATCTTTCAATTTTCTTTATAAACACAAAAAATACCAAATTTTAAATTCATAAACACTATATATTAAAAAAAAGTAATTATTCACACATTTTTGTAACTTAATAACATTCTCATTTTATATATATATCTTACCTATAAAAAACTGCAAGGAAAGTTTCTTGACACCTTTATCCAATTCCTGAAGATTTAATTATTTTCTTTGATGCTCAAGCACTTACGTTTTGAGATTTTGGAGCTACAAGAAATGGAGTTACCAGTACGACTGATCAAACCTACAAATTAATGAGACTAGTTCAAGGACTCGAGACATGAGACAACTCTACTGAGGGTAAAAGGGGATATCGAAGATGTTTCCAGCGAACTGGACGATAGGGGTTAAAGGTTGCACTTCTTGGATGAAATACCCAGAATTCTATTGCTCTCGGCAAGCTAGGTACTTATTAAAACCAGTTTAAGATTTATGACCGCCGTAAAATGAGTTGAAAAAAAGAATAACTTGAAATGTCCAGAAATACTGTAAAGAAAGGGAGAAAAAGTTGAATCACAAGGGGAAAAGTTCGTTATATAGAAAATGTACTTCGCTATTAGGAGGTTAGTTCACCGAGAAAATCGTGAAATGTTCTTGATTCCAGGAAAAAGTTCACTATAAAGAAAATTTCACAATATAGAGGTTCGTAATAAGGAGGTTTGACTGTATTTTCAATTTCTTTAATATATTTCATAAGTTATTTTAATTTTAATTGATTGAAAGGTCCATTAATGGTAAATATGACTCAATTGATTTTTATCTGATATTTTCCTTGCTTCTAGATATAGATATTTCTAATCCTTAACATATACATGTAATGTAAAGAAGTATCCATTTTGTGAGTTTGGATGTTGTAGTCGTGGCAACTCAAAATTCTGGATACTAATTAAATCACTGTTCATTTAGGCAATGCTAACATCAAATGAGAAAATTGAGCACCTTCTCTGCTCAAATGTCTGGCAAGCAAGGGAGAAAATTAACCCATTCCACATTCAGATACAAAGAAAAATAAGGAAAGATGTAATAGAAAAAATATAATCACATGTTCAAATTAAGGGAAATATTAGTCATTTTTAGAAATTACGTGTCTTAGAGAGAGAGAGAGAGAGAGAGAGGGGGAAAAAGTTTCTTTCATTTAGTAAGGCATGCATACTATTATAAGATATTATTTTCTGGAATCTCAAATAAATCTGTCAAAATATAGATTTAAATCCTTTAATGCGAAATGAAAAGAGATTTGCATTTCGAAATATGGTACTCGTAATTATGATTTAGATAAAAATATTAATTAAGTAAATATTAAGTTATATTATCACCCCTTACACAAGTGCACCCCCATATATATATATATATATATATATATATATATATATATATATATATATATATATATATATATATATATACACTGGCCTCCAAAAGTTAAGAAACAACGGGTTTTTCGAAGCTCACCGTAAAAAAAAATGACAATAGCAATAAAATGTATAGTTTATATAAATGATAAAGACGAACTTTATACAAATTTATGCAAAAGCAATAGCTACAATTTTTTAAAATAGGGGAAAGAACAGATGTATACGAATGAGAGAAAAATATACATATATCAGGCTTTCGTAATTAAGCGTTTAACCTTTGTTAGCAGATTTGTTGAGAACAGGCAGTGGGGTCTCGCAATGTCTAAGAAAAGCCATATGCCCGATTTGTTAAGGTGGAAGGCGGCTGGATGGATTGAAATGGGGTTGTCACAGGCTGATGCTGCTAGGAGGTTTTAATGTGTCCCGTAGTGCGGTCCACCGTCTCTGGAACCAATATCAAACCGAAGCATCTGTGTCCAGAAGACATGTTCCAGGCCGACCACGAGCTACAACGCCTGCAGGTTTTACCCCTCTTTCGGACCGAAGGAAAAGAAGGATTTCTGGGCTGCAGCTTGTTGCAGACCACTCTGTTGCCTCAGGGAGAAGAATATCTGCTCTTACGGTGCGAAGGCATTTTCACAATTCAAGTCTCTATGCAAGGCAACCAGTTGTGAGTGTACCCCTCAACAGACGACAGAGATGGGTTCGCTTATCTTGGGCAAGAGAACACGTTTCCTAGACCAGACAGAGATGGGCTTCTGTACTCTTTACAGACGAATCCAGATTCCCACTAGAGAGCGATTCAGGACGTCTTCTCATCTGGAGGGAACGAAGCACCTTATATCATCAATCCAACACTGTTGAAAGACACTGTTACCGAGGTGGTGGAATAATGGTTTGGGCAGGTGTCACACTGACCTGCATGTGTTCCAGGGAGGAACTCTGACTGGTGTAAGATATCGGGATGAGATCCTTGATCCATATGTCCGCCCGTATGCCGTTGCAATTGGCAATGACTTCATTCTGATGGATGATAATGCACGACCTCACCGAGCTATAATTGTTGAGGAATATCTTGAGGGTCTTGGTTTGGGGCGAATAGAATGGCCAGTTCAATCTCCAGACTAAAATCCTATACAGCATCTTTGGAACCATCTTCGTAGACAGGTTTCTGCTTTAAGTCCTCCTCCAAGGTGATTAGGAGAGCTGAAACAAAGCTTACTCCGTGTCTGGTCTTCGCTTTCCATTTCGGTAACCGACAACTTAATTGACGGCATAGAAATTTGATGCTGCCAAAGCATTCAAGCTAGGGGGCATATCCCTTATTAAAACCCATTTTTGTTATGTTTCTATGACATTTTACCATATAAAATTGTGATTATTATTTTTTCTAACAATGGACTATTCCAGCGAGATTGCTTTTTTTTTTTGTTGTAAATCATTTTTAAATTTTTGTTTCGTAAACTTCTATCTTGCAGTCAATACATAACGGTTTTGTGCACATGTCATCCAAATTTTGTGTTTCTACATTCATTTGCAAATTAGGCGCAAAAAAACAGTTGTTCCTTAACTTTTAGAGGCCAGTATATATATATTCAAATTGTCCCATATCTAAACGATATCTATTAAGTATCAAAACTACGAAGCTATATAAGTATTTGAAAATCCGAAACAGAGATATTATTCATTGACTTAAAGCAGCATCTTTCAAACTATGGGGCACGCCCTCTAGGGAGGCGTGAGCATACCGAAAATAAAAGGTTAAAAAATTAATTTACTGGAATGAAGTGAAACACAAAATACACACACACACACACACACTTTCTGACATAATAAAAAAGTACAGATTCACATTGATGTTGTTGTCGTCGTGTGTTTTTTATCCTGGGAACATATGAAATACAAGTGAAGAACAGAAGGCATACAATACAAACAGAAGAATACACGCATATATTACAGATGATGATCCCAGCATATAACAAGAAGGGGTGCATTACTTTCCTTTCTAGATGGGAATCCATTACAGGCGAAAGACCGACTTCCTTCCCGAAGAAGATACAACCATGTCTTATTCGGGATTCGAACTCGAGTCCACTCGGTTATAAGCCGAGGGTAATATCCACCATACTGGCTGGGCGTCGATTCACACTGATATAATTTATATATATCTTCTTGCGATATTACGTCATCAAAAATAAATGATTCTACTTCAAACACTCATTTGATATCTTTGATCCTATAACCAATTAAAAAAAAATTTTGTTTGCTTTGTTGTAATCCCACGATGAGAAATTTTTTTATTACGTTTCTTTTTACCCCTAAAATACTACTTTCCTGACCTTTGAAGTCTTCTATCATTTATTCATAAATGGACATTTCAAATATTATTGGTGTTTACTAAATCTTTTATTAAAAGAATATTAGGGTTCCACTTTTAATTTTTATGGACTAAAAGGATTACTAAATTTGCACTTTGTTTTCTAATAATCTTTTTTTTTTCAAAAGAAAATTCTTATTCTAGATTGAGATTTTGCTTATTTTGGCCATTATGAAATGTAATACGCATGGCAGCAAAATGTTCAGTTCAGTGAAATCACTGAAATAGTGGAGACTTGGTTAACGCCTTATGCTCCGATAAAATTTTGATTAGTTTTTAATCCAATTTGTAACACACTGTTCGTGATTGCACTGTCCATCAGTAATTTGAATTATCGCGTTGTGCTTCAACTGAGATTGAGGAAAGTAGAGTATAGAGTAACTGGAATTTTAGAATCTATTGGATGATGTCAGAAATTTTTCAACTTTTTGAACAAGCTCTATTGTTTTACATTTCGCTATTGAGGAATAAGACCATTCTCCGTGGTTGGAGATAAAAATTTTCAAAATTTCATGCTGTGATTTGTATTTGATACAGTTTAATATAAAATGTTCACTAGTTTCTGGTACTTTACAATCTGCACACAAAGGAGAATCTGTTTGTTTAAAAAGGAAATATATATCATTTAATGGTAATTTTTTAGCTCGCAACTTATTGATTAAAACTTCTGTATTTCTATTTTTTGCTGCATGTCTGTTCCACTTTTCAAGATGAGAAATATAAAAATAATTTTTATGTCTCTTGCTCTTTTTCCATATTTCTTCACTTTTGATTTTGTGTTATTTTTTGAAATATGTATGTAGATCTTCCCAAGTTATCCAAGAAATAATATTCCACGGCTCTGGAGAGGCTTTAGCTAATTTATCAACTTCTTCATTAATCCCTATTCCCTTGTGAGTTGGTACCCAAATGAATGTAATTGATTGAGCTATTTGGAGTCACTGATATAAAGTTGAACTTAAATTTAATATTATCATATTGGATTTTCTATTAATGTTTTGGATGCTTTTTAGGACTGATAAGCTGTCCGTCAAGATGATATAATTTTCTGTTTCAGAAACCCAATTTTTTAACGCAGTCTATATGTGGCTATAGCTTCAGCTGTGAATTTTGAAATCATTTCTTTCAGTATGAAATTTTGTCGAATTTTTTTCTTAGGGATCAAAATTCCTATGATGTTTGATTAGTATTTTTTGAACCATCGGTTGCTATTAGGATATTTTTATTAAATTTTGGCTGAATGTAATCATTAAACATATTTTGTACTATGTCATCTGGAAGATCCTTGTTTTGAAATGGTAGTTCATGAGTATAGATGTTTATTTTGAGATTTTCGTAGATTGGAGGAGGAGGGATCCATTGAAGAATATCTACTTTAGAGATGCCTAATTCTTGGAGCAGGTTGATCGTCTTTTGAAAAATACCGATCTCTTTTTCTCTATATTTGTAAAAAATACTATTTATATTCCAAAATAATTTTGCGTTTGGTGACCTGTCCTTTAATGCTATTTGCTTGGTTATAAATTTTTGGCAAAGGAAATTATGGCGAGTATTTATACTTCCATTCATAGACTCTGCTCTTAATAAATCTAACGGGGTATTTCTTGGGAGACCTAGGGCTAAACGTAAGGCAGCATTGTAAATCGGTTCTAGTTTATGTCTGTTGCTATTGCTAGAAAAGGAAAAAGTTGACTTCCATAGTCAAAGATAGAACGGATTGTGGCATTAATAATATTAAAAAGATGATCAGATCTTGTTCCTATTTTTGGAGAAGATAAGGCTTTATAATGGCATTTAAATATTTGAATTCTTTTTGATGTAGGTGATTAATATGATTTTTCCAGGTGATATTGGGGTCGAAGATGATACCCAGGATTTTCAGACTCTTCTCTTCGGGAATAGGTTTGTCGCATATTTTAAGTAATGGAGGTATTGTGCTTCTTTTTCTGGAAAAGTTGATTAGACTGCTTTTTTCTGGAGAGGTGGATAATTTTCATTTTTTTACACCAGACTGAAATTTTATTTAAAGATTCTTGCATTTCGCCTATTGTTTTATTCCAATTTGTACCACTATTATATAAAAATATATCGTCAGCATAAAACAAAAGATGGCTGTCGTGTTGAATTTCAAAAATATCTGACATATAAATCATAAAAAGAAAAGGACTTAAGATACAACCCTGGGGTACACCATAATTGTTTGTAACGGTTTTTGAAAAAATGTTTCTCCATTTGATTTGAATTGTTCTCTGATGTAAGAAGTTTTGAATCCAACGTAGTAATCTACCAGAGTATCCAACTTTGTTTAATTTAGAAATAAGGCCATTTGGCCACACTGAGTCATATGCTGCTTTAATATCCAACGCTACCAAAATAAAATATTCTTTGCGTTATCTAGACAGTATAATGTCATGCTGTAATTGAAGTAATGTATTAATGCTGCTTCTGTGAGGGTAAAAACCATGATGATTAACATGAAAAATTTTGTTTTGAAAACTGTAATCTAGCATTCTATGTAGAATCAATCTTTATAATAATTTGGCAATTACTGAAGTAAGAAAAATAGGACGGTATGACGTAACTTCCTTGGGATTTTTGTGAGGTTTTATGAAAGGTAGGATAATTGCGTGAGTCTAATCTTTTGGAATTTGACTTGAAGACCAACTGTCATTAAATGATTTTAGAAGGAGATTTAATGCTTTGATGGGGTGATGGTTTATTGATTAGAGAGAAATTTTATCATGCCCTGGACTGCTGTTCTTTTGATGAGATATTGCTATTTCTAATTCTTTTAAAGAAAAAGGTTTATTAATATCCTGGCTATTGTCCGGAATAGAAATATTTGGAATATTATCGTTGTTTTGTTTTGCGTAATATTGTAAAAAACAGTTTGTGTGCTTGGAATTGTTCGTTTGTTAATATGGTTCCGTTATTTTCAGTAATATTAAATGAAGAATAGTTAGTATTTATTCTATTTTTGATTATTCGGATTATTTTAAAAAGAACTTTAGGAGAAGATATTTTTTCGCAGGTCTTGTGCCAAAAATTTTCTTTACAGGCTTTGATTGTTCGCTTAAGTTTCACGCTTATTTCTTTATATTTTATCCAGTCTTTTTCTTTAAAGTTTTTCCTTGCTTTATTAAGGAGTTTTCCTTTTTTTGCTCTTAAATGCCCGCATGCTGCTGTCCACCATGAAGCTCTTGAACTGATCTGTTTTTTTTCGGTTTCTTGAGATAAGATTTGAGCTTTTTTAATTTCTTTTATAATATCTATATTTATGTTTTCATTTAAATTTACATTTTATTGAATAATATTGATAAATTTGTTCCAATTTGTTTTTTGTTTAAAATTGTTGGTTATTGAGCTGTTTATTCTTTTGTAATTAATAATTATAGGGAAGTGGTCACTTCCAAAATTATCGGTATTTGTGGACCAGGATAAAATCATAATTTAAATCTATGGAAGCAAAAGAAAGATCTATAGATGTAAAAATTACCGATGAATGGTGATAAGGTGGACTTTTACCGTTTAATAATATTAAGTCACACACACACACACATTTTCAATAATCCAGTCAAAAATCTTTTTTCCAGAAGCACTGGAATTTTTGGATCCCCATATCTCATGAGATGCGTTGAAATCTCCCAATATCAAACTGTGATTATCAATATATGATGCTATTTTTGATAAATTGATGTCTTTAAAGTTACCCGGTGGGATGTATATATTAAAAATTGTGATAGGAACTAAATCTATCTGAACTCTGACTATTAAAATTTCTAAGTCTTCACTAATTTCTGAGAATATTTTTTTATCGCGCTAATATCTTTGTTTAAAACTATCATTAACCCTCCTCCTCTTTTGATTTCTCTATAAATTCTGAATATATTCTTATTGGGAATTGTGAAAATATCATTTGGATGTAACCAGGTTTCTTGAATTATTAAAATACTTGCTTTTTGAAAAATTGGAACGAAAAGAATATCTGACCTCATGTTTTTAATTCCACGTGCATTCCATTGGATTATGTTCATGATTTAAAACGGAAAAAAAGTGCGATACTACGAATTAGTTTAAAAATTCGAAAAAAGAAAGTAGATTAATATTGAGTTTTTTTAGCGAGAAAATAAGAAAATTTAATTATTTATTTAAGTTCCTTTATTTTTTCTACTACACTATCTAATGTATTTCCTCTCTGTTCTGATATTTTCTTGAATCTTTTTGCTTTTTCATTCTGTTTTCTATTTATTAGACAATCATCATCTTTTTGAATTATTATATTGGATGCAACTTTTTTTAGGGTGGATTCCATGGTATTCATTAGGGAAGAAAATCTTAAATTTATTTGTGCTACCACGGTATTCAGTTCAGTCGTGAAGCGTTGCACTATATTTGTTCTAATTTCTTTTCGAATATGTTATTGTTTTCTTCAAATTTCAACTCTAATTTCGCAAACTTTTTTTCAAGATTTTCTATCTTCTCTGTTTGATCATTATATGTTTTGGCCGAGTATGATGTTCCTTTTTCCCTTTGGAATTTCTCAACTGCTTCGTTTCTCGAGATTTGTTGCTGTACTTTAATTTTTAAGATTTCAATTTCTTCTTGATATTTTTACAACTTTTATCATTAGCTTCATGCCCCTCTCCACAAGAGCTACATTTTTTTTATTTCTTTGCAATCGTTTTCAGAGTGGTTCAGTGAACAATTCGGCATTTTATTGAGCTTCTACAAAATTTTTGAGTGTTTCCAAATTTC